GGCTCCGCTCGCCGCCCCGGGCGCCCGGGCCCTTTTCTAGCAGGTGCGAAGGGGTGGCCAGCCGGGGGCGGGGATCGTTTCGTTTTGAGAACGTGGGGGTGACATTTGCCACCTGCTCCAGGTGTGGTGTCCTGCAGCACCGGGGGTGGTGACTGACGAGCGCCCCACAAAAGCCCTTTTCGAAAGGTGTCGCCACCGTGGGCGCCAGGTGCCAAGCGGCTCCCACCCCGGGTTCCAGAAGCCCGGGGGCTCCTGTCCGGCTGTCCATCCCGCCCTCCAGCTGCCCACCGGCTCCCCCGGGGCCGGGCCTCCCGCAGCAAGAAAAGCTACCGGGGAAACTAAAACTTTGTCCGGAGAAAGTCAATGACAAACGGGGTCCCTCCTCGCGTCCTCAGTGGGATGAAAAATAAACCACCTGAGATGTGTGAACCAGAGCAATCCGAGGCAAGACCCGAGTGCCGGAGCCACCTCGGGGGACAGAAGCGATCGGCGCGCCTCTGCTGCCCCCTAGCGGCCGCCGGAGGGCAGCGCCGTGACCTTCTGGGCCCTGGGCGCCACACTGGCCTGCCAAGGGCAAGGTCAGCAATTCGAACCCTCCAGGAGACCCTATGAGTTTCACTCAACCACAGTGGCACACGGCCCACCGGGACCCTGGTGGCGCAATGGTTAAAGTGCTGAGCTGCCAAGAGGTCAGCCGTTCCAATCCTCAGAAAACCTATGTGGCGGTCGGCTTACATAGGGACTTCGTCTTGGGAGCCCTGTGGTGTGTTCTCTGTCCCATAGGCTGGGTTTGGCTTGAGGGTTTACGGGGGTTGCCAGACCAACTCCAGCAGTCCCTGTCCTCCTGTACAGCCTCATCATCCTTCCAGAGGCTACAGCTACTCGAGTGTGCAGGACAGGGCAGTTAGTGCCTCATAGTTGTGTTCGGTTTACAAAATCCCACATACATGGGTCAGACAAGACTACCGATATTCCAGGCAAACATAACACAGTGATCTTGAGGTTAGAGAAAACAATCCATCTCTCCCTGTGGGAGTTAAGAATGAGAAAATAGCCCATGTTCACATCTGCAAAACTTCTTAAACTGGGAATCCGGACCCCCTATGGGGTCCAGTAACTGAATGTGAGAACATGGGGGAAAAGATTCACAATAGTAAGGTTTCTGAATGTGCAACAACAAAAAATTCAAAATCAAGTGATTAATGAACCCCAGGGGTTTCTGAAAGCACTGGCCTGTGCAAGTAGAAAAAGTTTAAGAAGCCCTAAGTTTTGGGAGTCACTGATCAGCTACGGTGTGGAGGGCCAATAATACAGTAATTGCCCCTGTCTGGTGTGATATAGGAGAAGACGTTCCTCCGCCACCACAGCCAAGGCAAGACGTGTTATGAAGTGTCAACCAGGGAAACACAGAAGATGGACAGTGCTACTCTGGCCCATCCATTTTATTTACTTGTTCGGGCATTGTGTTTAGTTCTAGGGATATCATAATGAACAAGGTAAATTGGGGGAACTTATAGTCATACAGAAAAATATTTTAATAAATGCATGAATAAAATAAGACACAAGACGACTTCAAGTGTATTTAGACCTCATAATAATCAAAAGACAGAGCCAGCTTGAAGCGGTTCCCACTGGCCAAATCTGGGGCAATTTGAACACCAAAATGCTGATAGGACTATGTTCACTAATTAGTGAAAATTTGACTAATTAGTCACCCAGGGCTCCCTGCTCAAGAGTCCCACTTTGGGGATCTAATGTATCTGAAAATTGTTTATCTTTGATTTTGTTTGTAACTAAAGCCAGATAGAACACTGGCTGCTCAGAGCCAGGGCTTACATGACCCTGACTCCTGCAGCTATTCCCTGAGTCTTTAATAACAGCTTGTGCCCTTAGGATCAGAAATGAGAGTAGTGATACCAGGAGGGTAGGGGGAAGGTGGGGGGAGGAGAGGAGGGAGAGAGAACCAATCCCAATGATCGACACCTAATCCCGAGCCCTCCTCCTTCCACCATACCTCCCCACCTCCCGTAGGAGATGAACAGAAATGTGGGTGAAGAGACAGTAGTTGGTGTAAGATATGAAAACAATAATTTATAATTTATCA